GGGTCTAGAGTTTGGGTTTTAGGGTTTAGGGTTTAGGGGTTTAGGCCCCCTGCTGTTGTGTTTTCTTGTCCATGCCGGCAGCACTGCTTCCAAAGGTGCTTCCAAAGGCAAGACCGGCGATCCGTGGAGGCAGCCGAAGCGCGAAGGCGCTGGAGCGACCACCTCCAGCCGTAGACTTTTGGTCATGCTGGTACTGTTGACAGATCGGATCCGGATCGGATTCCAGGATCCAAATACGAGAAACGGGCGAACTTCCTGGAAAAGAAGCGGTTGGCTCAAGAGGCCGCCGCTGCCGTGGAAGCCGCCGCAACCGAAGCGGCCTAATCCATTGCACCTGCCCCCACAACCCCTAATCGGAGGACTAAGGTCCGTCGTCCCCCCGAGAATAAACTATGTGGGAGAGTGCAGGCAGCAACCTAAGGTTGAGATTGTCCAGAGAGCCCATACCTGCAGTTTCTTGTAATTCCAACTGTTCGTGGCAAGATGCTCTGATAAATATAAGGTATACTCCTCAAACTATGTTGGGCTCGCTGTTTTAGTGTTGTTGCTCTTACTTGTTGATGATTGTTTCCAATTGTTTTTCAGTCCTGACTCTATATGGGTAGTTCTCTACATTAGGGTCCCTTTGTAGCTCCCCAATATACTACGGCACCCTTATTCAAAAGGACCCCAACAGTGACCCTAATTTAGAAAATCACCCATGAACCCTAAACCCTAAACGCTACAGCAAAAACCCTAAACCCTAAACCCTGAACCCTACACCCTAAACCCTACACGGCCCTACACCCTAAACCCTAGGGCTGTTTGGGTAGGGCCTTCCGCAGACTAATTCTAGGACATTTTCAGGTGGGTAGTTACTGTTATAGGAGCCTTATAGAAGGTCTATATACCTTATAGAAGCCTTAAAGAAGCCCTATAGACCCTAAACTCCCCACCTGTAGTTTCCTTTAACCCTAAAACCCTAATCCCTAAACCCTAAAACCTAAACCCAAAATCCTAAACCCTAAAAACCCTAAAGCCTTTCGCAGACTAATTCAGCGGCCAGGGACCAAGGCGACCCGCCACAGCTGACCCCGCGGGAGCCGCAAAAGGCCAGGGCTCACAGGACTAAAGGAGAGACCCTTAAAGGGACCCTTGGAGTTATATAATTAGAGACCCTTCAAGGGACCCTTGGGGTTATATAATTAGAGACCCTTTAAAGGGACCCTTGGGGTTTAGGGTTCAGGGGTTTAGGTATTGGGGTTTAGGGGTTTAGGGTTTGGGGTTTAGGGGCTTATTTATGAGAGAATATAAGGGGTATACAAGGGTTAGACAGCTTAAGACGGTGGGCTTTGGGATCCCCAGCTAGGGCTTAGGGTTCAGGGTAGGCTTTAGGGGTTGCGGCGAAGAGGTTTTAGGGAGTCGGAGGACTGGAAAGGTGGGATGAAGGTAGGGATATCAAGAGACTGACCCTTGGGGTTATCTAGGTGCTTTAAAAGCCCTTTTAGGGGTATTTTGGGGTGATATAGGGTATTAGGATTAGGGGTCCCTTCTAGGGGTCCCTCCTATTGTCCCTTAAAGGACAGGGCAGCACAGCTTTAAGCAGTGAGGACCTAAACCTTAACCCCAAATGGGCAGTTCGTTAAATCAGGGTCCCCTTGAGGGTTCCTTAAGGGTGAAGTACTATATTGGGGACTTAAAAAGGGACCCTCATTTAGAGACTTACCCTGAATGGACTTAAATACATGTTCAGGACCACGTGAAGGCCTTAGCCCTAAAGCCTTGAACCACAAATCCCGACAAACTCCGATCTCTATTGTATAGCTAGGCCGGGCCGAAACCTTAGTCTCAAGTTTGCGGTTTTAGGGTTTGACCTTGAATGTATATAGTTCCTTTTTTGGCTACTTTGGCGTTTTCTTGTAGCATCCTCAACATGAACACTTGCCAACACCAGGAAGTGGGGCGCAACGACTCGGGTTTAAAACCCTGAAGCCCCAAGCCCCTAAACCCTAAACCCCGCAACCCTAATCCCTAAAACCCCTAAACCCTAAACCCTAAAACCCCTAAACCCTAAAGCCGTGAACCCTGAAGCCCCTAAGCCCCTAAGCCCTCAACCGTGGAACTGCCGACTTGTGCTTGGCTGGGTTGGTCGGGCTCGATGATTCGGAGAGGTTTTCTGGAATTTGCCCGGGCAGAAATGCGGTTGAGGGCTTAGGGGGTTTAGGGTTTAGGGCTGAGGGTTTAGGGTTTAGGGGGTTTAGAGTTTAGGGCTTGGGGGGTTTAGGGCTTAGAGGGTCCGTTTTTGGGTTAGGGAGTGCACCTCTTTACGGACCAGGCATAAGTGGCGATGGTTCCATGTTTTCGAAACTCCTGAAAATCGTGGACACTACCGTAAGCCCAGAAAACCTATCGTTTAAGGGTTCCGTCTTATGACTTCCTTGCATAGCTCTTGAACGCCGTTGGTTTTCGGGTGTGAGGTCTGGCATGCTACGCCATTTGCCTGGTCATCGGGCCCTTTGGACGCTTGGGGGAAGAGGCTGGAACAGTTGGCGCCCATAACGTCCAAGGACGCGAACCGCCTCTACCACCCGATCGACTGGCGGCCATGGCTGGAGTGGCAGCGGTGGCTGGACCAGCAGCTCGCCTTTCCGGGCCACGCGCGCTACGGAGGAGCTTGATGCAACTTGGACGGTAAAACTTAAGCTGTCACAGCTGCAGCTGAGACTCGCCTCTCTTTTTCATGTCAGTTTGGCTAAGGTGCCATATCCCGAGGTGGCTACTGCCGACAACTGCCGCGCCTCTTACATGACGCAAACAGGCGACTTTCGTTGCGGCCTTCCTACACCCTAAACCCTAAATTCTAAACCCTTCTAAACCCTGCTAAACCCTAAACCCTAAACCCCTAAAACCTCTTCTTGTCCTTTCCACTCGGCCTGCGGCCGAGGCCTAGAGCCTGATACCCTCGAGCACGAGGACAATCACAGCAAAAGTCTCCATTGTGGTTTTTCTTAGTAGTTCCTTTTTGGGTCTTACCTTACAGGATCCTAAATAGGTAGCTGGTTGAACCAACAAAAGGAACTACAATGGAGACTATATAGGTATAGTAGCCACCTTTCGAACGGTTCGAGGCCAGTCCGCGAAGCCTTGTCAGATACGATAACACCTAGTTGCCTTGTTTCGCCTACCCCTAGCCAGCCTGTCGCACTGCAAGTCTCCATACTCTTCCCAGCTTTCGAACCCGGCCAACTTGCGTTCATAATTTTCATAGTTTACGGTCCTGACGGTCATGCAGGATTTATATCATCAACAGTAGGACCCCGAGGATGCCTTAAGGCCCCTATACCAAACCCTTCTTCGAAGCCCTTAGAGTGGCCGTTCCCATTTTTACAATCCCGACCCATAGGCCCCTAAGTAGTTCCCTTTTGGGAGTACCTTATAGGATTCTAAATTATGAGCCATAAGGAACTTCTTAGGGGCCTATGGGTAGAGTGACCATTCCCATTTTACAATCTCTAGGTCTAACTAGGATTCCCAGCGCTCGTGGCTTTGACCGCAGCAGGCGGATCCACAGGAGTCAATCGAGCAGCCACCATCCAGCCGTGTAGCGCCGGAGCCTTTGAATCGAAGAGAGACGGACTACTTCAGGGTTCAGGAGTTCAGGGTACAAGTAGATGCTCCGATCCCACTTATCAGGGGCCCCCGCTACACCCTAAGCCCTAAACCCATAAACCCTAAACCCTTACTCGTATGTACGGTTTTAGGTGTACGGTTGTCTTTCTCAGGACTTCTTTGACTCTGAAGCCCGACCTTTGGGCCGACCTAAAGGTGAGACTTCGGAAGACTTCGGATGTGGCGGGCGTGTTTAGGGTTTAGGGGGGTTAGGGTTTAGGGGGTTTAGGGTTTAGGGGGGGTTTGGGAAGGGGGGTTTAGGGTTTAGGGGGTTTAGGGGGGCTCAAGGGGTTTAGGGTTTAGGGGGTATGTTCCCCTAAACCCTAAACCCCCTGCCCTAAACCCTGAACCCTAAACCCTAAACGTATGGGGTTTAGGGATGTGACGGGCATTAGAGTTTTGGGGTCTTGGTTGAAATCACCGAAGATCTAGGAGAAGAGCTGGTCATAGTGTGTATTCCTTTATACTTGGGTTTACGGTTTAGGGTTTAGCGAATAGTAGGTTAGACCGATTATACCTCCAAAGCCCGGTTCCAATTATGAAGGCCCCTACATTGGTGCAGGCTTTGGCGTTGTTAAGGGAGTGAACTTCGAACTACGCTTCAAAATCCAACTCTGAGCCTCTGGACCCATCACAAGCCTGCTCTACCATGTTCCCGGTGGGCGTGGACACGATGGTCGAAAGCCCTCCCCCACGCGAGCCTGTCGGTATGGCAATGATCTGGCAGGGACGCCCCTGGATCAATGTTTACGGTGGACTGCCTCGGCCTATCACAGCCGAAGCCTCCCAATATTGGTAGTCCATCTTCCGGCCTAATCTTTCATGCGTCATTCCGGGTTGGCCTGATTTCGACCTACAGGCCATGCTGGACGACCAAGATGATCAGCCTACAGAGGAGCAAAATCAGCCTCAGCCTCAAGCCCCCTCAAGCCGATGAGCCCAAAACTCTCAACCCCTCAACCCCCGAACCCTTGAGCCCTGAACTCTGAACTCTTGAGCCCTATACTGAACCCAAACCCTAAACCCTACACCCTAAACCCAACACCCTAAACCCTAAACCCCAAACCCTAAAAGCCCTAAGACATAAAGACTCGAACCTGGGGTACCAGGTGTGGGATGCAAGAGGAATATCTTAGTTGATGATATAAATGTAACCATAATTCCCATAGTTTAGGGTCCTTAAGGTAATGCAGGATTTATATCATCAACAGTAGTACGGTACTAAAACTGAGCTTTTCGGGAAGCTCTAAAGGGGCTGCCGTAGCCCGAAACCGAATGATTCCTAGGTTTCCTGAGTCCGTTATCTCTGGATCCGAAGATGATTCAAGTAGACACAACTAAAGTAGAAAGAGAGGTATAGCGGTGTGGTACAAAACCTGGAGCTGAAGTCGCCAGTGCAAGAGCCCGAAGACTAATGCCCAGTCCCATACGCAAACAGCCGAGCGGACAACCTTCCCTGTGGGTCCACATATTCCGAATTAGGCCCTACTCCCCCGATAATGTCTGATGAAGCTTCGCATTACCCATAGGATTACCTTTACCTTACAGGATTCTAAGTATAAACCACAAAAAGGAACTACTTAGGAGCCTATGGGTACGTGTACACCGCAAGCCTTATGGGGCCTGGCCAGGATCAAAGAACGCACCGCCAGCTCAACCGGGCTAGGGTCTCAAAATTGGCGACGCGTGTGTTCCCATGCCAATGTCGATCTTCTTGCAACATGGTTGAATTCTCGAAATTAGGGTCGCTTTTGGGGTCCTTTTTATATGGGTGCCGTGCCATATTGGGGATTTTTAAAAAGGGACCTCGATTTAGAGAACTACCCATAGGCTCCTTAGTAGTTCCTTTTGGGATTACCTTATAGGATTCTAAATATAAACCACGAAAAGGAACTACTTAGGCGCCTATGGGTACCCGAATGAACCCGTAACATTGTTGTTCTTTTGGGGCTTTGGGGGTTGCTCGGCCATACTTGGGTTCGGGTTTGGGGTTTAGGGCTTAGGGTTTACGGTGTAGGGGATATGGGATCTTTGGGGGATCCGGTTTGAGTGGCCTGACTTGTGCAGGCCTTGTTTTTTGGGCTTAAATACGTGTTTCTAGCTGTTGTGGAGAGGATTGAACTTTCTGGAGGCCCGGTTTTTGAAAGGAGAGAGTGGCCTCTTGTCTGATTTCGATGACTGTGAACGTGGAGGGCTGGATTTCTTGGGGTTTTTTTATATCATGCGGTCTGGGCTCTTCGGTTCACACCGAAAACTGCCTGAGACCCTACAATGCACTCTATGTGCAATATCCGAATGATTCCCAATGCATGACTTCTGAATGTTTTGGAGCCTTAGCATCGTCACGTTCATGAGCCCAGCCACGTACGTATGTATGTGTTTATACAGAAATACAAATAAATACATAAATATATGTATATAATATTTTGATTGCCAGGCATCATCGACATGTTGAGGCTGCAGTGGAGATGGTAGATGGTCCGAGGTAGCGCTGAAGCTGACCAACAGACCATGCCCTTGAAACCCTAAACCCTACACCCTAAGCCCTAAACCCGAAGCCCGAAGTCCTAAACCCTAAGCCCTACGTCCTATAAGCCCTAAACCCTAAACCCTGGACCCAAGAGCTCCGAACTCTTACAGTGGCTGCCTCGGCCCCAAGCCCCACACCGAAAGCCCAAAGCTCAACCCCGAGCCAAGAAACTAACGGTTTAGGGTTTCAGGTTTAGGGCTTTATGGTTTTCGGGTTTAGGGTTTAGGGGACCCTCTATTCATCCCCAAATACCCACAGCACCACAGCGGCTCACTTAAGGGTACAGTGGGGGTTCCCGGATTTCGTGTTTGAGGCCGGTGGAGTCCACCAGGGAGTCCACCGCCAATGCGGAGGCGCGCTCCGATAGTCTACAAGCTCAGGTTACCCAGAGGCTCCAATACCCATTAAGGAATATACCTTAAACCTTATTAGGGTTCCCATGATAATTTAAGGTATATATTCCTTACTTAAGGGATATTGGAGTCTCTGGGTATCGATAATCCATATTCAGGGAAGTTTGGCACGGGATTTTGACGGGGAGCGCGCATGGATAAGTTCTGCCTCAGTGTTGCAGGTTAAGGCTAAGGAATTGGAAATTCACTTCGAGTGTAGGTTGGGGGGGGGTCGTTGGTTGCATGAGCAGTGCATTTTATGGCGTAGTTGGGACCAGGGTTTGAAGAAAGTGCTAACCTGAAGGGTAGTGTGGGCTTTGGGGTTTCATCTATTTTCAAGGCTTGAAAGCTGTTGAAAGTTGCCGATCCAGAAAGCATTGCCTGTCGCTTTTTCTGAGAGGGTTTGCAAAAAATACAGGTTCGCGCCAAGAAGCAAAGTGGGTTCCGCAGTGCCCAGGTAGCACCTTAAACTGACAATTCAGGCCTTTGAACACATACGAGGTCTCTTCTATGATGTAAAGGTATTCCTTCAGTTTCGTCCGGGCTCTTAATCATGCTTTCAGGAATATTATAGTAACTATACTCTCTCTCTCTCTCTCTCTTTCTCTATCTCTCTATCTATCTATCTATCTATCTACCTACCTATCTATCTATCTATTTATCTATCTATCTATCTATCTATGTCTCTATCTATCTGTCTATCTATCTATCTATCTATCTATCTATCTATCTATCTATCTATCTATCATATATATATATATAAACATACACATGTTCCTCAATAGTTTCGGGTAGGGTACCATCAAAAATCCAGACCCTAGGAGAAGCTCAGTGACCTGGTTGTGGTTTCGGGGGTTGGAAGGGTTTGTAGGTTTAGGGGTTGGGGTATAGGGTTTAGGGTTTTAGGGTCTAGGGTTTAGGGTTTACGGTTTAGGGTTTGTGGATTTAGGGTTTAGGGTTTGCGGTTTAGGGTTTAGGGTTGGGAGATGGGGTTCAAAAGAACAGATGAAGGCTCCCGTTTGGCACCTGCCTTCTAGGGCAAGTACTAGGGCGTAAGTGTTTCTTGTGTTTTTGAGACGTCCGAATCGTCAAGGGCCCAGTATTTAGGTGTGGAGGTTTGGGAATTATAGATTCCAATCGCTTACCGTAGGTTTAGGGCCCTAAACCCTACAACCCTACAACC